GTTTCGATAGCTATTTTCTGCTATCGTTATCAATATAGGTTCTTTTGATAATGAATGAAATACCCAACAAGAAGTTTGTAAAAAAATGAATCCGCCTCAACAATATAGAACTTGTCTATAAACTGTATACTTGCAGCTCGTAACTTAAAATATGCATTAGGCGATAATTTTTTGACCGGCGAATTGAACAAGTTGCCTTGGGGATTCGCTCTGGAAAGTGGAAAAAAACCACTGAAACGCTGTTTTTTAAGCTACCAAGCTTGTGGCAGTTTATTTTTTTGCTTTCATCAGGGCTAGAAAGATTAAATAAATTACAAATTGAACTATGAGAAAGTACTTAAGCTCGAAGTAAGTAGGATATAAAATTGTTTTCCTGTGTTTTGTTAACTGGGTCGATGAATAAAACTAACAATTAGCAGTACTAAAAATTGCTATCTTAAAACGGGCTGAAAGTCCAAGAAATTCAAAATAATTTATTTTGTTAAATTGTAAAAGCTTGTCGTCCACTTACCAGCCAGTGTCACGATGTCGTATATCAAACCATTTGCATTGACGTCAGTAGAAGTCCTGATTTTTTCCTGTCTGCTAAATGTGATTAAATATAGCTTATTTAGGTCTCCGTCACATTTAATTATTTTTTTATAAATCTTTGTTATAATTGCAAAATGCTTTGCAGCAGGTTTTAAACTTGAAAATGAAAATAAGAAAAATTCGTTCTGACTAATTTCATTAAATGTAATTTGTTATAGGCAAGCAGTTGGATATCAGAGTTGTGGCCCATACAATGGTCTATCACAAAGCAACCAATTCGCTAATAGTTTACGGCGGAATAGTGGCAGGAGTGGCACGATTTTCGAAACTCTCGGACAGAATGTTTGCGTTTCAGTTGGACCACAAGCATTGGACTGAAATCCACTACACCCGAGAGCACTTAAGGGAGAAGTTTGTGCCCAGAGAAAGAGCTTTTCATTCGGCAAACGTTTTCGGCAATTATTTAGTGATATTTGGTGGATATTCACACCGCCATAACAAGGAAGAAATATGCTACGACAATCAAATGTATTTATATCATTTGGGATGTCACACTTGGGTCAATTCTGATATTTTGGGCAGCAATAATGAATCAAGGTACGTGTGATTTATAGAAAACAAAGCAACAATTTTGTGAGCAATAAATGACATTCACATGCGATGGGAAAGATATTAGATTAAAGTTGGTTTGGTTTAATTCAGATATCCAAAGCAGCAAGGAGTATTCGCACACGCGTCGAGTATTCGCAACTCCCACACGTTGATTTTAGTCGGCGGCTATCACGGCAACGTTAATGGAGATCTTCTCGCTTGGACAGCGCCTTCAGCTTTGCGAGATCTGTCTCCGAAAGCCTGCGCCCTTCATCAGTCTTTTGGTGCCTGTGCAGCCGATCCAGAATGTGGCTGGTGTAGTGCGGATGATCGATGTTATGGTAGAACTGTCGGAGCAAACTGTACGACCAATTTACAAACCGCTCGCTGTCCTGGCGTTTGTACCGCTTTGCAAGACTGTCATTCTTGTTTGGTTCATGGGCATTTACATGCTAGTGACGAAGAGGCAACGCCATCATCGGCCGCTTATAGGCTAGGTGCGTATCAATTTTTTTGCTGCATTGTTTAGACTCAGAAGGGACAAAGTCGTTGACCAACTTCAACCAATAACTGACCGATTATAGTCGGGCCCGTACGCTGGGTGTGCGCCAAGTTTCAGCTCAATATCAAACCTGATCAAGTCCTAACAACGTTTTTAAAGCGTCTGCATTCATTTCAGGTTTGGGCAAGTGTGCATGGTGTGTTCAAAACGCACGATGCCATCCCAGAGATGATCCACATGGAACGTGCGGATCACAGGTGGACAGTCCTAGTCAGACACTTGGATGGTGGGGCCCACAAGGACAGGAAATCCATCAACCCCAAGACTGTGCCAGTTTGGATCGCAGGCCCGGACTCACTTACATCAAATATAACCATCCACCTAATTTTTCGCAGCCGGACAGTGTGGCCACTTTAAACGCCACAACCATTGGTATGCAAGCGAGGGATTCTGCACCTGAATCAATAGTAAAAATTGAGATTTTATTGCAGATTATAACGGGGGATTAAGCCTGTCGCCTCGCAGTGAAGCGACTGGCGGAAAAATGGTAGCAACTTTAACAGGCTTCCTGCGGTTGCCTCCATCATGGTCGGAAATCATTAAAATTTGTTCCAGTTATTCCACGGCCACAGTGACTTTAGGGGAGGTGAATGTAGCGACTTTAGGAGAGGTGAATATAGCAAATTTCACTGAACACAGGGTTTGTAGGTAACGTTCAGCATAGTAATTATGTACAATAGAATCAACTAAATTTAATGACCTTCCAGAGATTCGCTTTGGCCCGAAGGATTGCCGGAAGAACGCATTCCATTGAAGTTTTTCAGTGTGAAAACTCTTGGTCCCTTATACAACGCACATCAACAAAGTAGAATGGAACTACTACACTTTAAACAGGATGAAATTCCAAAGGTATATACCTCTAATTTGAATAACTTGAAATTAACGAGATGCAGGGTATCCCGTTGATGTGAAATAATTTTTTGTATACAGGGTTGTTTATAAATTATTGCGTTAGGAAATTTTTAAGGGTGATTCTACATGCTAAAATAATAGTAGTAAGTCATGTAACAAACATTCGAAATCTGAATACTTTCCGAGTAGCTCATCAAACTTCTTTTTTTTTCTGTTTATTTTTTACCTATTTTGGACATTTCTTCGCGGATCAAATTGAAAGTCGGTACCGACTTTAAGATTGATGATATTTTTTTGGCTCCAAATATCGCAAACCCTTAAAAATTTCTTAACGCATTATTCGAACATCCTGTATATACAGGGTTATTCACGCTATACGGCACGGACGTTTGCGGCTAGCCCGTTTGTTTTTTGCAAAGT